TATATAGTTCTTTCACCAATAGTTAAAGTGGGGCAGAAATAGAAAATTTGCTGCTCAGAGTCTTATTTGAAGCTGTATCGCAAGCTCAGATCGTTTGAATTCCAGTGTTCTGTTGAACTCATCTGAAAACAGTGTCTTCAATTACTTTGTTTTTTTTCTCTCTCATACCAGAGAGTCAGGGCATGAGCAAACAAGGGCATAGCCTAGCTTTAAGCCTGTTCACTATTCAGTTCTGGAAAATGCCTTTGTCACTGCCAAGACTACAGCACTTCAGTTCACTTAGATTTCTCCCAGGGGGAAACAAGTGATTTTGTGAAAGGAAGGTACTGCCTAATGATGATACTGTATTCACCGCTGTGTCCGCAGCAGCTTGCACTGTGTCTGGCACAACTAAAGTACTCAAAAACATTTGCTGGTGACTCATTGACTGTCACTTTCTGTGGGGCGGAGAAATGAGAGGGAATGAGCAGAAGCGAAAAAACAAACCACAAAATATTAGAAAGAGAAGTGAATTCATGAACCACCTAGAAAGTACTCTCAGAATGCCAGCCCTGCTTACAATCATTGTTACTGACTCTCCTGCACCACTGGGTTTCAAGTTAGTAACTGGTTAGGAAGGTGAATGCCTCTGACTGGAGGTCTAACTAATCCTACCAGCTCGGTTGGCTGGTTTCAGCCAGCTCCCCAGCACTTGTTTTGGATATTTAAAAACATAGCCTAAGGGCTTCATTATAGGGGAATTACCAGTCTCATACTTGTTACAGCCTTGACTTGGTTTTTAATAGCCATTAATTTACTCAGATGGGCAATGATAAGGATTTAATTCAGGCTTAATGAGGCCTCGGTCAGAACAAAGACAAGTCCATGGTCAAAAAATGTTGGAGGTGAAAACTTGAATCAAAAAAGTTGTGTAAATGGAGTTACTGGCCAAAAATATTCTCTCAAATGCACTTTTTTTTTTTCTTTCTTTCTCTCTCTCTACTCTGAGGACAGAGAGCAGACTGCAAATAGTCTGGCCTTTGTTTCATCTTCATAGACAGGTGCTTGCAAGAAAGCCCATTGTAGCAGCAGGAATGTAAATACTGGGATCAGCATTTTCCCTGGATTTGAACTTGAATTTTTATTAATATTATGCTTGGGCCCCGAGAAGATTCATTCATCCAGGCGGACTTATGGCGCTAAATGACTAGTTAACCGTACATGCTAATCCCATAACTATGGTTTATGGAATGACAGAGAATGGTTTATGAAATCACTTTTAAACCATCTTTTCAACAGGAATTATACCAGTCCTGTAATAACTTAAACCAAGCGATACTGGCAAGAATTAGCTTAAACATCTTCAATATTTTGACGATTATTATACAAAATTGCTCCTGCAATAAAATGGCAGGGTCGTATATAATTTCCCTCCTTCCACTGCATTTCCCTTTCTTCCCCTTTCACATTGAAACGTACTTCATAACATTTCATCAGGAGCAAAGGCTGCACAAGTTTCCAGTTGCTGTAATTTAGTTAAACCATAAAATTGTTTCCAGATTACCAACCATGAAATGGAAAGACAACCTTATTTATGAATTTATAAATCAGATAATCTCCCTCAAATGAATCCTGAAACCAGGAACACTTTGATGATTAAATAGGAGGGAGAAAGTTTTCTTATTCCCATGTGTCAAAGAATTGTATTTTCATAAAGTGGTTTTGGCCAAGACAGTGGAACACGCATGTGCAGTCAGTGCGCTCAGTGCCTCGGCCAGTGCAGGACCCACCGTTTCCTGGGCAGTGGGAGAGGATTGCTCCCCTCAACTGTCAAGCTCAAGTGTTCTGAGCAATCGAGGCTCTGCGAGAACGTGTCTCCTTCCTGGTGGCCCAACCAATGACATAGGCTGGAGGAGGCCACCCAGGGAGCACTTCCATCCTCACACATACAAAAAGAAAAACCAAGGATGTGAATACCTGACGTGAATATAAGGCCTTTCCTTCACAGCATCCAGACTCTCATCCCACGAAATTCAGTAACTATGTTGGCATGATTCCTGAGGAGTAAGGAGAGTGGGGTATGATTTGGGGGTTGTCTTTCCCTGCATCCTAAAACCGTTGTCTGGAGAAGTGCCACAAAAAGCCAAGTACCCACTGAGCCAAGGAAATGCCACCCTCTGGATGCCCACGTGGAGACAACCCAACCTGTGCTATAGCATAGTGCAATTCTAACCACGGTGGTGGGTCAGGTGCAGATCAATGTCCTGAATCTGGGGTGATCCAGATGCTTTGTTTTGGTTTTTAATGCTACTGCTCTCCTTTCTTAGACAAGGTAATGAAACCTGTTGGCCAGAGACAGATCAGAAAGAACACTGGTTTAGCCTCCTCGGGGTTGTGCCTAGAGCCAGTGTTGGAACCCCTTCTACCATTTCCCTCTTACCAGATTCTCACTTATTCTGCACAGTCGTAGACTTACCTGTTTCTTACATTTCTTAGTAGTACTGTCATCTCTGTGTAGTTAGGTTGTGAAAATGCCTTCCTGTCCCACATTCCAGCTTCATGAAACCCACGAAACTACTTCCTGACCAAAGCTGTCTAGACCCTAAAAATGTCATGGTGCTTTTTTTAAAAAAGAAAGAAAGAAGAAAGCAATCCTTTGTATTTGCCTAGGGTTGGATAAGAGCAGTCAACTAGATACATCTTGAGGTAGCTCTGAACACACCTCGACTCCGGGTCCCGAGTTTGACTTTCAGCATTCTCGTGGGAAGAACGGGGCGCTGGACAACCTTTACCCAATACTCAGCTGGCCCCTGTGGAAACCACTCATTTCCCAGGAGCCCATTTGTGTGAGTCCGTGTCTCCCACTATCTAACCATTTCTGAGATGCCATAGTGACTTGGGTCTGATGAACCTGGGATATCCATTGGGTATTTACTAACCTGCTTTCTTGAGTGTAGTTTCTTACTAATTTTTCTCTCTGGCACATGCATTGTGTTATGGCAGAGAGGAGACCAGGAGCACAGGTGTGACTGAAAATGCTTTGCAGCTGAGGGGTTCAGCATTCACTGCTACACCTGGAAAGTCGCTGTGTAGAAATGGAGATGCATTTCCACTCTCACTGCTTGAGATTTCTCCTTCCCACACTACTAGAGCAAAGAGATTGTACTATTCATACTTAAATTATTTATTTTTCCATAATAGGTTTACAACCATTAACTGTCTAGACTGCATGACTTACATCCAGGAAGCTCAGTGTTGTGACAGGACCATCATTTTAAACTAAAGAAAATGCTTGGAATTCTGAAGTCGGAAGCTTGTAATTGTGAAATGAAGCTCAGTGTTTCATATGGCACTAAGGGTTATATTCCAAGGGCAAAACACAAGGCCAAAAAGTTGTGTATGGACAAAATTACCCTTGTAGGTCCACTTGATTGCCATGAAGTTTAAGATACAGATATAGCATCTCTCAATAATCCAGCTTAGCCAGTTACTGTTTTCCAGGGAAAGAACAGACCATCACGATTTCTTTCCATTGGGTACCAGATAAAATAGCTGGCTTGTATGAAAAGGCCACAATATATGAATATGCTGTTCGTAGCACAGAAATCGCCGTCGTTTACACTATGCGAGGTTGGTGGGACTGAGACCCGCAGTGAAGAGCTTCTCTGTCTCAAGCTCACACTAGGACACCTGCTCACGGGGCACAATGGCAGGTGAGGTGCCCACACTATTCAAACTTCCCTCCCCTACCTCACTTTATTATTTTAAACTTCCAAATAAATGTGACTGAATTCACATGCAGTCACGTGTGTGCTGCCGTCTGCACCTAGAGGGAGGTCACTTGTGATGTTTGTATAACATGTTGAAAATAATGGTGAGAGCTCTGGGAAACTGCTGCTGTCTGAGGTACAGAAATGTGAGCCAAACGAATTGTGATAAAGCATTAGAGAGCCCTGAACAGAAAGGTGCAGCATCTGGGCACAGTAAATAATTGGGATTATTCATTCATGTCTTGAGATGACCAGCTTGTTAGGGACATTTGTTTTTCTGCTCGATCCCGTAAAAGCCCCAGGTTGAAGTCCCTGCGCCATTAGATTGAGCGCCATTCATCCCCGAGTCAGACATTGATTTCAATCGTATTTTTCCGTGCTCTTAAAAGACACTCGTTGCTGTTGCTCACAGATGATAAAACAAGTTTTATCTCACACGCAGCAAACATCCCCATCATTTGCACCGAAACCAGTCATCAACCCCCCAGCTGAGGAGTACAGCTTAGAGGCCTGAGGGCACTTTGCTGGCCTACTAGGTGGTACCTTTTATGACCCTCAGATGGTCATTCCCCTGGACAAACCAGTCTGAAAGTCAATAAAGCTTTAACAAACAATTCTCTTGTTTTACAGAGAGAGGATGCAAGCCATGGAGAGACAGATCGCCAGTTTAACTGGCCTTGTTCAGTCTGCGCTTTTTAAAGGGCCCCTTACAAGTAGTAGCAAAGATGCATCTAGGTAAAAAGAAGAAAGCAAACCAACGAAATAATTCATTCTGTTTCTCTCTAATCATTAAGACAACTCATTCATTCAAATCCGTTTTCTTGTAATCATCTCAAGGCTGAAAATATTTACATCTCTCTGAATCATGGCTGGTTGGTTTGTTTGTTTTCCTTCTGGTAATTCTTGGTCGAAGGTAACGCTTTGGCCCAAGAAGGGTAAACGGGCTTCCCAGTGCATGTGGCTTCATGGACCACTGCGCAGTGCCTGCAGCCGCCATCCACGTGTCTCCACATCCGCCATCATCTGAAAGTCATTCGTGGCCACCTGCTGTATCCCACCCGCAGTGTCAGTGCGCCCCTGGGAAGCCTTTTCGTCCCGGCCGATAGTGGTGCTGATGCTGAAATACCCTTATTGCTTGATGCCATCTCTACCTGCTGCTCATCGCTTAGAATAATGAATGGAGGGGGCAAAAACAAAAAACAAAAGGCATTTTGGAAACTGGATAGCTGACTCTCTTTTTCTTTTATTCAGTGAGAAAATGATGAAAACAACAGCCAATAAGAACCACACAGATAGTGCAGGTAAGTGTTCTTGGGGCCCCCGGAGGCCTGCAGGCTGCCTTGGATGGGCTCTGCTTGTTGCAGAAGTAAATGACCCTTTCCCTAAGTCGTCGACATGGCGTGATTTCAGAGGCTTCCCAGTTAATGCCCTGCACCATCACACCTTCCCTCCTTAATGCTGAAATCCCAGATTCGTCATTAGTCTGGGGGTGCCTAAGCCCTTCAGCCTTTATTCATTCACTCACTGTTCATTATATCACCAAACATCCAACAAATATAGATGTGCCTAGTACTGGGCAAGGACAATGGGCATGATTCAGACACGGCTGCCTGCCTAGAATTCCTAACCCTGTGGGGAAAATGGATGTGGGACAAGTAATTATATGAGTGTTGAGTGTTAAGCGAAAGGGAAGGATGAATGTTTAACTGGCAGTTCTAGACTAGGTCGGGGACATTTCCCTGAGGAAGTGACATAAACTGAGACCTGAAAAATGAATAGGACTTAGGTAAGTGAAGGCAGAAGGGAAGAGCCATCCAGGATGAGGGAGAAGTACGTGCAAATGCCATGGAAAGGAATTGAGATAATATTCTAAGTGCAAAGCGAAGCCATTGGAAGGCTCTGCATTGGGGAAGGACCTCAGCCCAGCTGCAGCATGGTCATGGGTGAGAAGGGACGCAAGCTGATAGGGAGCCACCAGTGATCGAGGCAGGAGAAGAAGGTATCCTTGGACCAGGGCCTGCTTTTTAAATGCCAGCATCTTCCCCTCCCCCCGAAAGGCCCCCATTAAATTCCACGTGGACTCCCTAGTATCCAGGTATATTTGATGTACATCTTATCCTGCAGGCTCAAGGCAGGCCTCTCTCAAGAATATGAGGTCTTCCTCCCCACTGTTTTAGAAATAGAAATCATTACCAGGAACATGTTTGGCTACTGAATTACACAGGAAGCCTGTGGTAAGTTGGGTGAAACCCCTAATTTGGAGAAGGCACAGAATTTGGGACTTCAGCTGGGACCTGTGTTAGCCCTGGGGCCGCACTGGCTGAGTGCAGGCAGTTCAGCTGCAGAGCCAGCAGGGCTGGTCTTCCAGCCCTCCCAGTCCTCGTGGGACCTGTTAGTTTACTTAGAAGTTAATCAGTGACCTTGGCTGCAGCCAGAGAATTATTTCACAGAAACCATTAAATTTGTCTTCAGAGCAAGTGTCCGTTTGTTTTGGAAATACTTATTCCCTCGTTTATTTTTTGACCTATTAGGAACTTTAGGACAAAAGGAACCTATGGAACTCATAGAAAGAGAGTGGACTGGTGGTTCCTGGGGCATGGGGAAATGGGGAGGTGTTGGTCCAAAAGTACAAACTTCCAGTTGGAAGATGAATAAGTTCTGGAGACCTAATGCACAGCATTGTGATTATAGATAATAATATGTCAGAAAAAGACAAGTGCCATATGATTCACTTATATGTGGAATCTAATGAACAAGATAAACTAACAAAATAGAAACAGACTCATAGATACAGAGAACAAACTGATAG